GCGACAGTGGAGAGGAAAAACTCCCTTTTAACAGGAAGAAACCTCCAGCAGAATCACGCTCAGTGTTAGTGGCCATCTGCCGAAGCCGAATGGGGTTCAAGGAGACAGAAGCAGAGATACAGAAAGCAGCTGTAAAAGGCAGCCCCATTCAGGAAAAACACTGCCAGGCAGACAAGCTCCAAACCAACTTCCATGTCAGAGGATGAAGAGAGCACATCCAGCCAGTCACAGTCAAAGAAACAATCAATCAATCAAATTTATTTTGATATATAAACAGGACTACACTGGAAAACAGGCCTATCTCCAACAAAGGTGTTGGTGTCATGATGTTCCACAGTTTGTCAAATTATAATGCCGAAGTTGGCTTCTGATTCAGCTGACGCAAAGGATGTTTCTCCGTTTTGTTTTTTTCTTTTGAGCGTTAAATGTCTCTGTTAAAAATGAAATGTTCCCTTAAATATTCATTGAAAATAAAAATCCTTCAAAAAAAAATGGTGGCTAAAATGTCTCAATTCAAATAGTGATCAGATAGACCAAAAATAAATGACACCATTTAAATACAAACAACCTAAAGAGGAACTTAGTTCTTTTACTTTACAGAACATGGATGTTTTACTTTGCAGAACATGGAGTTTTCTTTTTACATAGTTGTCCAAACCTGAAAACAACAAAAACACCTAAATGTAAATATTAGACTGCACAGAAACCCAATTTAGTAATGTGGCTCCAAGCTTTGAGGAGTTTTATTTATATATATATATATATATAACAAATGTGCATTCCTTTACATAGCCTCTATATCTTCCGTAAAGGTACATCCATTATAGAAAGAAGAGAAATTGGTGACTGAGATTTTGACTAAGGCAGGGAACTAAAGTCAGATTGTATCCTAATTTCTTTCTGACGTTTAATTTCACGTCATATGAAACTTAAAACATAGATTGACTTTATCTGGCACACAAATTAAAAAAGGTTCATAAGCAGTCTAAATTCAAAATAAAGTCCACACAAATTTAAATGTTTCCTCTCCAGATAACCAGCAGAGCGAGTCATGCCACAGTTCGATATATTGATGTAAGGAGGTTTGAGAAAATCCCACTGATTGCTCTACACATTAAAATAAATATCACTAAAACACCAATGAATGACGGTAAGCAATGGATGCTTCAACTATGCTGAACACTTTTTAAATTGAAGAATGAGGAGAGAAAATGTTTTTAGGGATTACCAATATATCTGAGCCATTATACTGATTGATTTATCAGTGGATGGCACTCCCTAAAGCAGTGGCAACGGCAACTTTCTTTCTTTAGAAATTTCCAGGTTCTCTTCTCCCCTTCACTGGACCGTTTCCCTTTCCAAAGAATCTTTCTAAAGACATTTGCTTAGTACTCATTTTTGCTAGCTTTGGGGTTTAAAGTGGGAGATATTGCATAACTTATGGTGTCGTGGCTGTCATGCATCAGCAGCGAGTCATAGACAGGGGTAAAGGAGAGAATCAAGACATTTTTCAGAATAAAAAGTCTGTCATACTCAGAAAATAAATCAGTCAGAAATAATGGAAGTTATTTAATCTTTTTGTGCAGCTTTGTACCAAATGACAGAGGCACTGGTACTGGTCCGGGGCCCTAGAGCTTTGGATGCATGTGCTGAATGGGGTAGATTTAGCCACACCATCCCTGTTCATCTGACGTGTTAAAAAGGAGATTAGTGCACTCATATAAAACAAAAGTGAGGAACATCTTGAAGCTTGGATCTAAAACAAAACCCAAGCAGATAGAAATTAAACAAATATTTAAGAATTATATGTGTAAATAATATTTAATATAAGCTAAATATGGACAAGCATTTATGCGATAGTTAGTTAATGAAAATCCAAAATTACAGAAAATTTTAATATTAGATGATGTGGCCACAACAAGACCATTTTTTGCTAATATTACATTACATATTATAGGTGTAATTGTTTCCCAGATTTTCCTTTTTTTCTGTTTTGTATTTAATTTTAGCTTTTAACCCCTCTGGGTTTCCTGAGGTTTCCTTTTACAAGCGCAAATTCCCCCGCAGATGCTTAACATAATCAACTAAATCTATGTTTTTTCCTGCTCTCTTGGCTGCGGTTGCCATGATAACCATTAAATAACATTGATCAGCTGGCTCATTTCAATACACAATTACATTTGTGCCATGCTTTGCATAAACCATTTATGGTTTAAAAGTAGGAAGGAAGAGGGCTGCACATCAGGAGGAGCATTGGACGCATTGTTGCTACAGCTACATCTATATGGAAAATTGCTTTGTTTTGTGCATAAGCATAAATTCTACTCCATTTTCCAGTGCTTGACTTATATAATTTTTTTGTATGGATCCTATGTAGTGTTTTAAAAATTAGAGCCCTGGTCTTACAGGGATGACTAAATCCTCTAAATACATCCCAGGCATAAAAACACATCTACAAAATAAAAATTTTGGGGAAGATTAAGAACATAAAATATGCAAACCCTAGATTTTAAATGAGTGTAAAACGTTTTTAGTTTGCATTGCATTAGTTCCAAATGCATGAGGTGATCAGCTTCTTCACTGTTAGTGGGTTTTTTTCCCCCCTTGGCTGCAGGAGACAGACTAAGGCGTAGGCTGCGTGTTTAGCATAGATTTTTGAGCTAATTTATTTTAAATGTGTACCACCAACAAACATGTGATATGTTACACAGCTTGTTAATGTCTTAATTTACGATTTTACTTATTTTCTGATGCAAATGACCGCAATTGGAGAATAAATTACTTGAACTGACTTTATGTGCTTCATCTTGCTCCAAATCACCTTAACAACAGACAAAGCACACCCTACTTCCTGTTTGTAACTAAACACCAACATCTGCACATTTTCCCTCTGCCTCCTGCAACATCTAGGCCTCACAATTCTTCCTCTCACAGCTTGAGAAACCAAATCTGCTGCTTTTTTCTTCAGGGCATAACATTTACAGATAGCTCCCATTAACCGTGTTGCTTTAAGTGTGTGTTTACACGCGTGCACCTTTACGTTGGTCCTGGTCACACAGTCGTACGAGATGCCCACAGGGACCAGACTGACATCAGGGACAGATCCTTCTTTGATGAGCTGCCTGATGCGATCCAGCCACTGCCCACCGTGACCAGACTCTGCGGACACACCGATGCTTAACGCCTGACCCTCATGTAGCAGCTCACGTACCAGCTGAGGAGGAGGGAGAGAGGAGGAGAGAAAATGGCACTGTAAAAGGTCTGTAAATCCAGGCAGAAGTAGATCAATAACGTACAAACCTTACTATGTGTTGGTAAAAAATACAGACGCAAAGTAGGAAGATGGTGGAGGAAGGGATACAGATGACTGAGAAGAGCTGTAGGATGATGAATCAAAGGGCAGGGAAGAAAACAGAAAAACGGAGAGACTATGGGGACACTTTATGACATTCAGAGACACTTCCCTTGCCTCAAGGACTGTTTTCCCCTTACAAACAGAAGAAATTCAATTACCATTGAACAGCAGCTAAGCAGGCACACACTCAATAAACAATAAAGGTCTATTAACATTAAAATACAACCGATAAACAGGCCTGCTTTCTCACAGAAGAAAAATATGCTTACTTGCATAAATTTTAAATGAACAAAATAAATAATGATAATAAATATATCAACGAATAAATAAAATGTTTTATACACAACTGGCGTTGTTCTGGTGTGCTGCACTTTTGGAGCAGCATTGATCTGAAACTGGTCCTGATTTCTAAATGTACAAGTGCTTCCCAATGTTTTTCATTGATACCTTATTTCATTTCAGCTACTATATAAAAAAAAAAAAAACTCTGACATTATGCAGAGTTGATGCACACAGTGTGATAAATGATATTATATTATAAATAATATTATATTATCCATGCCACCTGCTGTTGCTGTTCTGCTGTGTTTTACCAAAACCAACTCAGGGAAGCCATCTTTCAACATTCCAGAAAAGTAAAAAAAAAAAAGCCGTGCAACACTATGCTGGCCCTTACGACTCCCTTTATAGAGGCATAGGCCAGTATTGGGCATTGCAGGCCAACAACGACTTCAACGACTCCCCCTTACTAAGGGGTGGACCTGTTCTTTCGGTTCAATTTGCATGTTTTCTAAGCCATATCAAGGTTTTGTTGGGCTACTCTATAAAGCATGGAGCCCCATGCTAATCCAGACATTTTGAATTCCTGGATGGGAAGCAAAACATCTTCAAACTTGGAAAACAAAGTCCAGTGTTTTTTTTTTTTTTTACTTTTTTGGAAATATCTGTGACCTGGATGTCTGAGAATCGTCACCAGCATCTCAACATATTTCAAAGCAATATTTTTCAATTCAAGTCCTTGAGGTCAAGAGTCCTGCACCTATGTGTGTCTGCTTTAACATGCCTGATTGAAATAACCAGATCATTAGGAGGACTCTGCAGAACATGGCTGTATACTGAGGAAGTAATTAAGCCATTTGATTAAGATGTGTGGATCCAGAGACATTTTAAATGTGCCTTTTAAACAGACAGTAGACCTTGAGGATTGGAATTTATGCTTTAGAGCTTAATGCTTTCTTCTTCTTAGATTTACAGTTCCAGCACGGCTTAGAACCTGCCTCCAAACCTGCAACAGTATCTTCTAAATATGCAATAACTGACGTAAAGTTTTTTTCCCCCTAAGACCCTTGGGGCCATCTTTATGGTAGGGCACTCCTTGAACTCGCTGTACAGCTCAATAGTACCACAGGCTGATCACTTCCATGCCATGCTGCACTACTGCAGTAAATAATGCAGAAGAAGCACCAGCCAGAAGTATTGACTGCAAATACTACACACACAAAAAAAAACAACAAAAAAACATTCTTATTGGCTGTATGAAATAATCAACTTCATTTAAATGGACAGAGATGAAATACTTAGAATTAATCGATCTGTCTATAATGTAAAGTATTTGAAAGGACTTTCATATTGAAGTACCTTAACTGAAATATTCTAACTTACTGAGAGTCTATTTTAGACAATGTGATTGAAAACCATTTTCTTTATCAAATAAAAACTACAAAAATATATGAATGCCTGCAAAATGTAAGCAGCTCCTCAATTAAGTACCACTAGAAACAGACTCTGTAACCGTAGCAGGGATTGCGTGGTGGATAAAACATATATTGAAGGAACAAAACAAATCCCTCAATACGGGAACTGCAATGAGGGCAGACGTTGCAAGTAAACACCATCAGGTAACCACCACTCCTCTCATTTCTCCACACGATTCTCATTGCTTTGTAGAGCCAGCTCCAAAACTGGGATCTCAGAAAAACGCAAGCCCCCTGGTAATTTCAGGAATGAATAGAAAGTGGGATGAGTATGGGGAATGAGAGAGAGCAGGGAAAGACAGGTTGTATTCAGATTGAAGAGTTTGCTGTGATAACACTCCACCACAGAATGCCTGTGATTGTGAGCTGAACCAAATGCACATAAACTAAACAGCCAAATTAAATGATGCACATTGCTTACCCTGTAATTTTATACAATTACCTGCTCTTTTCTCTTTCTAAAAAAAAAAAAAGAGAACAAAATTCAGATGCAATTTGATTTCTGTGGGGGTCGCTTCTACTCGTCACTGGTTACATGCAAACAACGAACAGGGAGGATACACCCACAGGTAATTTCATGCAATTGGCCTGAAATAACCTGGGGCTGTAAAGACAAATCTGCATAACATGGTGACATGAGCTCAGTCAACAGAGCATATACTACTGTTCTACAGAGACATACATACTTAAACACAGAGGCAATTTTACATGTTTTAGCTTGATCTATAATGTAGGAAGTCCGATCATTTAATGTCTATTTCTGAAAGTAAGCATAACTAAAGCCATTATCAAAGTCATCTGGAAAAATCTTAAAGGTATTGTGGAAGACGTTCTTTTTCCAGCTTCATCAAAATAAGTGGTAATCCTAATTGTCAATCATTTTTGACATTCCAATGCACTCCTCCCCATTTTCACTTACCGGTGAATTCTGACATAGTGGGAAAATTGTTGATCTTCTATTGGAAAGTAAGCTTGTATGAGCAATGCAAACAGCAACCTTTAAATATAGCATGCACGAGGAGAAATGGGCTTGTTCCTGCTCTTGCACACATTTAATAGGCGTTCCGTCTCGGGAGTGGGTATAGGGTTGTGCACATGGTGAGGGCAGGTCTTCAGGGCAGGTCTCCGTTATACGTTTAAGATTAATCTAAAAAACCTGTGATAATGATAAATATTTTAAAAGATTTGCTGGACCTTGGTTTAAGAATCAAGTTGCTGTCTCACTGAACATTATTTCAGTGAAAAGCCAGACCCAAGTTGCTGGTTTTCATTCCTGGTGTCGAATGAGATATATTCAACTGATAACGTTTACATCTACATTTGGAAGATGTTGGGAATCTATGATGGGTCCTTATTCAAGAAAAGGAATTCCTGCACAGGCATTAACGCTAAGAGTGGCTCCATCTACATTTACATTGCCAGAAAAAAGATATTTTAAAGTTCTCTGCATTAGTTGAAGTACTCTCATTCTAACCAGACGCTGTGGGTTCAATTCAAACTTCTTTTTGCTCCATGTTAATGTGCCCCTGGGCAAAGCACTTAACCCCAGATCTGTGTGTGGGTGTGCAAATCTAAAGAGTGATTGAGGGAACGGTCTCGCTATTGTCACTAACTACAACTATAAGTTTGGTCTATTTACCATTTAGGGACAGTGAAGCTACATCCAACTGGCTAAATAGGTTTCTGGCAACCACAGCTTAAATTCACATTCACTGATACTTCAGAGCTGACCAAATATTGATTGCAAGTATTCTTTTGCCTCTATGATACTGTAGAGTCTTATATTCCACTAAAAACTCAATATTTCATGGAGCTCCTAATATATTATGTATTTTAATCCTTGGAGAGTGACCGTCAATCGATTAGGAGCAATGTGGGGTCGAAAAACATGCATCATAAAGACTGCAGATGGTGGGAAAGAACACACCATCACTTTGTCGGCAAAACAACAGAAATTTTGCCTATTTTCATTAGGTTCTTGTTGCAATCAGAATGGATGGAAGGCATTTAAAATACAAATATAATTTTTCTTGTTTAAAGCCCATATTTTTAATGCAATGAAAATATGAATGTTTTTTATTAAATTGGTTTCAAGTAAGTAAATGACCTGCATGTAAATTAGCGACACTTAAGAGCAAACGTTCTAGCTTCAATGTAAACATCTGAGCAGCTGCTTAATTAAATCCTTTAAAGGTATAATGGAGGATGTTCTTTTTCCGGGTGGATTATCAAAATAAGTGATCCTCCTAATTGTTAATCATTTTGGTGACATGTTTACGTAAGGACGTCCTACGTGCTCATCCCTATTTTCACCTAACCCTATGCCAAGAGTTACCTCCCCTCTCACACACTGATGAGAAACACGCTTCAGTCTATGTGTTACAGTTAGTGTCCGATGACTATGTTCTCTGCTCAGTGAATGGCATGTGCCACTTTTGCAACAACAAGAATACGTTTAAAAGTTATTTATTTCGTTCCTATTTCAATCCGTTTTCTTATCAATGTGCGAGAGTTTAGGGTGATGCACACTCCCGTGACAGGGCAGGAAATTCTCGTCATTTATCTATCCACCAAAACTCTCAATATTAGGGCATCCATGCATAACAAATATGAAAATATTAAAGTCGTAGGGAAGCGGCTGTTCCAACGGTTGCAGTTCCGAATTCTCCCGAGCGGTGCCCGACTTTACATGAGTGAATACAGTGAATGTGATTGGTCAGTTATCAAGGGGGCGGGATTGTTGTGGACGAAGGTTTGCAAGCAAGTTTGGTTGTAGCCGATGTCTCGGCAGCATCTTGCTAACCAGTTAGCAACTTAGTGCTAGTAGGTTCTTAATGGGAAATTACATTGGGACCAAGTAGTACTTAGCAACAACACTGTGATGCCATGACCGTAAAAATTTGATTGACAGATGACCTTTGATATATGATTGGTCGAATATAGGTGTATAAGCTCATGTATAACTAACTGGCCTGCATAAGATAACGAGAAACAAAACACAGATTTTAAGACAGGATTTTTTTTTTTTTAAATCGAAATTTTCCAACTTTGGGGATAATACATTTATATACATGTTTAAGCCAAAATAATAAAAAAATTTAAATACGACTTCCCTACAACATCAAGAATATGTTTAAAAGTGTTAGGAATCCAGTTTGTGTGGGTTGTTTTTGTGTTTTTTTCTCTCCACCACCAGGTGGTGCCCTGTTCCTCGTTGGGCCTCCCTGCACACCTGCGGCTCGTTGGATCATTATCAGAGGAGTATTTGAGCAGCGGGCTGTCACTACCTTGACACCAGAGTGTTTGCCAGTTTTGGGTAATCTAGCCAAGCTGAGATTAGCAGAGTCTAACCGAAGCTTTGTTTTCTACGAGTCTAATCTTGTTTTTGTCTTTGCTCTTTGACAGGAAGCCTTTCCTGTTTAACTGGAAAACCTGGACCTTCTCCCCCTGGAAGGATTACTGAGTACACACTGAGCAGGGGTAAACCTCAACATGATCCGTTTAAGTCCTCATCGGAAAACCAAGTGACAGTCCGCTCCCTTACTCCTCTGGGTCCAACGTATGTCTACCTGTCCGCTCTCCAACGAGTTCCCTCTCCTCTGGATTAATTCCCCACAAACTGGATTCAAGGATTAACAAGAGCCCCCTCACACGTGAGTTTCTCTCCAGCTACTGTATAGTCAAGCCTCAGTCAATTTTCCTACGGGCCCTGAACTGATCACTGTGACCTCTCCTTCAAATACTTTCCAGTTCACCAGTCCACTGAGTTCCAGCTCCTACTTCTGTGTTTCATCAACATTCAATAAACCTGTTGGTCTCTGAGTGGTTCTCTGCATGTGGGTCAGATCGCTTAAACCAATTATGACAAAAAGTTCCCTTTTCGCTCATATTTCAATCCGTTTTCTCATCAGTGTGCGAGAGGGGCGGTAATTCACAGCAGGCCGCCAGGTATTTCTCGGCATAACCCCTGTGGCGACTGGTGAGTCTGACATAAATGCACATCTTTTTTTGGGAAGTAAGCTTGTATTCATCTATGCTAATGAGCTAATAATAGAGTCCAGTTCGTCGAAGCAGAAATGCATCTAGATGTTGCAGGACGCCGGTCCTCAAGGACCAGAGTTTGAGACCGGGGGCTATAAAGAAGTAAAACCCCTTCACTGTTCCAATAAAGCTTTTTTAACGGCTGAACAAAGTGTTTCATAAATCTTTCCTTAAACATGATGAAATGGCGTTTATTTCAACTTCAAGGTACACCTTAGGGGCGTATGAAGGGCTTTCTAAACAACAGATCAGTACTCAACGGCAGCAGAAATCGTGTGATGTGGGTGCTATGGAAAATCATCTGTAATTTCAGTTAACATGTCCTTTACCATTTAAAGAAAAACTTAGACATCTGGGACTTACTGAGGTCATTACAGCAGAGTAGAGAGGGTCCGTTTCAGCTTCAAGCTCAGTTGCTGCAGAAGGAGGGAGCAGGACCACACCCACTTTTTGTAAGATTGATCTATAAAGAAAAATAATGATAAAGATTTCTGAGTTCAAGGTCTTCACTGTCATTTTAATGTTAATATGTAAACATAACCTATGCCTCAGGGCCAGCCACACACGCTAACAAAGAAGAGGAAACTATGTTCTCTATGTGCTGCTGAACTTCCTTGAAAAGTATGATTGATAATAAAAGGACATTAGAAGATAAACATACAATCCCCTACATAAACACAATTTGTAAATTCAATTTTGATTCCAAAAGTTAAATTACTGGATGTGGGTTTCTGTTTTAAAATGACTAAATGAAGAATATCATGTGTGCCATTAGAAATTTTATCTGCAGCATTCCTTGGTGCTTCAGTGGAGGGGAACTGGACTGATCTCATCAAATAGGATCCTTGAGTTCTGAAAACATCAAATCTGAGGCCAGCACTTCTGTTATGCTGTTCTTATTGCCAAACACAGATGGCTTTTTTCTCTCTTTTTTTAAAAGCATTCCCCACCCAAAATCTGCACACAACAGTGCAAGGGACCCTTGTTTTAAGTCAGCAATTTGCACATCTTGTACAAGACATATGAAAGCACAACTGTTAAACATTTAATAAATACAGTGAAAAGACGAAGTGCTCCCAGATTGATATCTTTTCAGAACTAAGGAGGATTTTTGGAAGGCAGATGAGTTGTCATTAGGTAATGAGAGAAGAAATCCAGTTGCCTTCTATTACAGCTCTAAGCATTGTCATGTCCCAGATGACTGATAATCTACACCAGCAACCTGAGAAAAAAAAGTTTCCTGTAAAGGAAGTACTTGATATTGCAGCATGCCTTACTTTGTTGCCGTTTGTGTGTTTAAGTATGTATACCTTAGGACGCTGCTTTTAATGTGCAGAGGACAAACAGTGTATGGTACTCTCAGGCCGTGACAGAGGAGCAGGAGTGGGATGAGAGCGCAGTCAGTGACGCTTTGACGCACATACACATATACCGGGGGAGGGCCCTGAATTAAAAAGAACAGAAGAAGCTTCAGATAAAAGCACTCCTCAGGTTGCCATTCATTATTCCACACAGATTGATCTTTCAGAGGTGGACGATCATGTTCTGCAATCAAATGCCAAAATACGTAATGTATTAGTTAAATTTTACTGCTTAAACCAAAACTTTGACTTAAATGACTTAGAATGCAAAATATTTGCCCTCTCAAGGTGATTTATTTATTATTATTCATTATTGTTATTATAACAGTTCAATAAGAAATACCAAACTTATTTCAATTTGCTAAATATCAAGTTAAGTGTATTTTTCTTCATGTGTATTTGTGTATTTTTCTATTGCTTACTACCTTTTAACTACTTTCCTCAAGATGAAAAGTTAACCCTTATTTAGACTTTGATCAGGATTTGGTAATGGCACTTAGTCCTTAAGTCACTTTGTAAATAGTGTCTCGGGCTCACTGTGATTTTGTACTTGAAAGTTTCATTTGCACCCAAGCTTTTAGTTCCTGGATGATGTTTTAAGATGTTGCTTCAAGTTTTCCAAATACCGTTCTTTCCTGTTGATGAATGGACAGAGTTAATTAATTCACCATGAATATATATGCATTAAATAAAAATAAAAAAACTGGGGATAACAACCAGACTCATAAGCTTACCAAGTCGATATGTTCAAATGCACGACTTACCAGTTGGAATTGAAAAGAAAATCAACCAAATGTATTCACTCAAACAATACCACTCTTGGAACCAGTACTTTTCATAGAACAGGTTAATATTGTTAAAACATGTATCTGGCTTAATCCTGCTTCATATATGGATATTATAACTGATCTGTGATGCTGGCATACAATAAAAACACATTTCTACATCTCCTACTTCTTAAGTACACAGTTTAGTAAGATCAATGCAGCAGAAATATCTTGAGGAATTCATTTGTTGTCACTTATGGACTCTGCAACTGTAGCGTGTCTCATTAACTCCCATCTGTTTAGCCAACCGTGTAATTAGAATTGTGTTTTTTTTTTTATTTTTTTTTTTTAGTTAAAGTGATTTGAAAAGTTTTTAAGTTATTTAGCATTTATGCACAAGTTTATCTTGTTTTATAATGGGTAAGAACAAAAACTGCTGTAGCTGTTCACCATCTTATATGGTGCCTCATGGCTTAATTTCACATCACCAGCGTGGATTCACATCTAGATAAAACGTCACAGTTTGCTTGTAAAAACGACAAGGGTACTTTCCACGTTTCACAGGATGGACCGAAACCCTTTCGACACATTTTATCAAGCAAGTATGAATCACAACATTGGATATAAAGATGCATTTTTTCCCCCCGATAATTGTACCTCTTGTGCTGCTCTGTGTAAAGCTGGCAGATGGTTCTTGTTGACTTGAATACTGCCAAACACACAGGAGAACATCTTCAGCATCACCCACGACATGAATCTGCTCAGCAGAGGGTAGGGCATGGAGATATATAAAGAGAAAAAATAAAAAAAGTGAGTGTTTCTGATAATACAAGAGAAAAGATAGAACTTGGCATCAGAGAGGATGTTCTAAAACCTAAAGAGAAATGGCTGTTAGTAATGCCAGTAGCAAAGGGTAAAGAATTGAGGATGAAGTCCAACTGAAAAACATGTAAATGAGAAAGATTGTAGTGAGACAAAGTAGGGAGAATAGGAATGAGTGATGACATGGGGAGGAGGCGAAGCGGAAAGCGATAAAGAGGAAGGGTTGTGAGGGTGACAGCTGCAGATGGAGACAAAGGTCTTTGCTGTAAATGAGGAAGAAAAAAGGAGAGCAGAAATGGAGGAGAAAGATTTTGAAAAGAGATTTGTTAGACCACAAGAAAAGCCTGAAAAGTTGCTTCAAGAGGAGGAAAAAATGGCTGAATGTTAGCTATATTTCATCAGACATTTAACTCAATTTCTAACAGTCAGTAGCTGAAAGAACACAAGAGGATTCGGGAACCTGAATTGTTCATGGCAATAAAAGTCACCCTGAGACAAGATTGTGCCACAAGGACAGTCATCTTGAGATGATCATGAATCTAGAAGTAGCCACATTTGAAATGTCTCAATCACATGAGATGCTGCTGTTCATGTTTGAGGCTTTGTTGTCAGTCAATCACATGCTGACAACTTCAAGAGACATTCTTTCAGTTTTACAAAGAAGTAACAACATAGGAAAGTAAATGAAAGTATCCACAGTTGCAAAAATTAGCACATTAATCTTTTCAGAAGTTATGGCCAATGCAACGTAGGTGGAGTGAAGCAAACAAATATAAACTCTCTATGAAGGCCATTTTGAGTGGCCCCATATGAGCATAGATACATTCAAAATCCTCATTTAAACTGTGATCCTCCCTAACAGCAGCCCAGGGTAATACTGGTAGGCCGTCACCATGATCATAAACAATAAATCAAACATTATTTCTGATTGTGTTGACTGTCATTTCTTTATCATTCACTTTCTTAAAACATTCTTGTTGAAGTTAAGGGAAACATTAATGAAGAGGGTAGTCCTCACACTACACTGTTCCCTTTCTGATTGGTTGGCCCACCGTAATCTGACTAGTCTGCCCAAGCAAGAGTAAGAGGTCTGGTCAGATTAAGGAGAACAGCAAGGTTTTTATTTTGGTATTTAAGGTATTTGAAATAATTTAAAGGTAATTCCAACAACTGTTAGCACAGCCTTACATCCCTGGAGCGACTTCCTGGCTCTTGAGGGCTGTTGTGCTGAGACTTGCCTGAGAGGCACCTCCACAGAGACCAAGGCCTGTGCTATGAAGGCCAAAACAGCAACGACTTGTACCTCAGGTAGAGCATTTTACTTTTTCTCCATGACAGTTGTCTAGTGATGGTAAATTGGACAGATTACAATTAATGTGTCACTTTGGGTCTGATCTATATTTTCATATACGTTTCCAACCAAAAGCAAAGTTAGGCATTACAGTTAGTGTTTCCCCTTAGGTTTTGGGATGTGGAGGGGTGGGTCAAAGTGGAACAATTTTATAATATACTTCATCTTTCCTAATTCTATATCTTCATATCAGTATTGCTCAGTACTCTTTTGGTCTTGCAGACTCCTTCCTGATATCTTCACCTTTTTTTTTTCATTTAAGAGTATTTTCATCCAGTCTTTTTGTCTTTTGCCCTTTAACCCCTTAACTCCAACCTTTTTATAATTTGTGTACAAATAAATTGCATACCCAAATGCCACTGACCAGTCTTATTATAAATCCCACGTTCTTGTGATGTTTAACACAACTTGCTGGTGAAGGTTCTCAGTCCTTCGTTCTAATTCAGTTGTAATTCATAGTTGACTTCTCCCACTCACTACACTTGCAGTTCATGTAAAGTTTCAGACGTTTAATCATAAGTATTGTGAAACTGTGTCCCTTTTACTTTGCAAAAGGTCCACTCGGCACAATTGATCTGAATTAAATCAAAAGTTCCAAACTTACATGAATTCTATGACTACTTTGACCATAAAAAACCCACATGTTTACAAGTAGCTTTAGAAAAATTGTCATACAAGCACTTTCTTCTTTAAAGTTTCTCATTTTAGACCAAATCTCCCTTTCTGGCCACAAAGACCACAGACATTTTTGGGTGAGTTTACACCTGACTTTCAGAAATGCTAACCTATGAGAAAACTGCAGCTACAGTTCAGATTCAGCTTTGAAAAACTGCTTTGCATTTGCACCCATAAAGTTGTGTGGTTTTGTCTCTGCTATAATATCTGCATATTGAAGAAGAGGGTTAGCACGCGTCTGCTGAGCTGCAAATGAAAATCACTTTGCACCTTGTGTGAAGCTCTGCATGTACAAACAAGATTGCATGTCTTTTTAAAATGTGCGGACACCCTCTGAAGATCAGGGCGTATACATAAAGTCTTGTACTGGTTAATTAAGCCATAGAGGCAGTGTTTGCTAACCTTTTGTACAGTAGCCATGCTGCTTGGCAATGTGTCATAACCCTCTTTCACAAAGACCTTTGAAATACATTTCAAGTCATTATAATGATCTGATTGCTATACCAGCTGATGATGGCATGTTCTTAAAATATTTACACTTCTCTTGATGTCAATACCAGTTTTTAACTATATTACTCTGACTACTGCATCAGAACTGAATATAAATGAAAACAAAACCCAGCTAAATATGGCTCTTATATATCTATATTTATGATATAAAAACACTTATTTTTCCCACTGCCATTCTCAGGCTGGGAAGAGAGACAATTATGATGATTATGCATGCATGATTACAACGATTTGGAAAGATTATAATTACACAATTAAACATGAGATGTTCACAAAAGTATTAAGAGCGCAGTAAGGCATCTTTTATGTTGGGTAATTACATGAGATAAAAACTTATACTATAAAGTATCATTTAGCAATAATACTAAATACATACAGATAAAGAAGCTGATATTTATCTTTTTTACATACATAGGATAAAAAACTCTTGATTATTCATGTTTTCTATCCATTCTAAACATGCAGTATTTGATCCTACTTTTAACCCAATAGCCTCTTCACCATGGCAACTACAGCTGCAGCTTATGGCTGTTATCAGTTATTAAGAGAAAAAATATCAGGCAGAAATATAATATATTTCTTTTTTTATCCCGCACCTATTCTGTGTATATCAAAGGCTAAACATAGCAGGAGAACATCTCCAACTCAGATCCAGAGCTCTGTTGAGTCTTTAAAACATGAGGACAGTCAGGGATAATTCAGTTTTTTTTCATTGGGGTCCTTGTTCATTATAATTTAAAACATGTCTACAACTGGCTCATTAACTGGGCAGCAATGAAGCTTGATGGAAGAAAATAGGTTATGCAAGGCTTTGGCAACACAAACAGTATTTTTTTAAGGATCATTTCACTGCTTGCTTATTTACATTTTAATGGGTTTTAATTCTGTTGAATATCACTAAGTAAAATAAACATTTCAGGAAAAATTTTAATATTTAGTGCAATAATATATATATAAAAAAATATATATTTATAAACCTAATATGTAATGAGAACTGGAAAAAGATAAAATACGAAGCATTATGTCTTGAAGCCCTTATTTTCAACTCTTTATGCACACAACTGCAGAGACACAAACCTTAAGAGGCCAGAGGAAATGCAGGTGCTAATGAGGGGAAGGAATGGTGAGAGAAGACTGTGCTGCCCTCGGCTGTCTTCCCCCTCTGGAGCTTTATGCGACTCTCCGAGCACCTTCCTCACCCTAAAACACACGGTCACAGGACAGCAGGGTTAAAATGGCACAAAGCTGCATTTGTGCTGCACTTGGACAAACATCCGCCTTCCAGAAACACGACAACAACAAGAGTAGCAGTCCTTAGTGACATGATTACATAAAGCTTAAACTCAATTACACAGTAGGAGGGAAAACAACAGATACTGGGGACTATGTGACAGAGATAGAGAAAGCGGGAACATGGTCCAGAGTTAGCCCATTACTTTTTATTCAGTCTGTACAGAAGCGGCTGAAAGCCTCCATTTTCTGTATCTTTGTGTCTTATCTTCCCAGTCTCTTTCTCCTTTCTACGCCAAAGCTCTTGCAGCCCGTTTCATTTTCTGGATCATGGCCTATCATTTATTTACACTCCTCTGGCATCCTTGCACCTACCTCCCCATCCCACAGTTTTTCTCTTAAGGTACCTGTTGCTCTGACAGACTCTCTCCAGCCTGTCACCAACAGGACTCCCGTAAACCTTGCACCCACTCACAAACAAAACGCAGCACACCCTGCGAACTAGCCAGCCTCGATATCTGCAAAAGAAAAAAAGGTCATTATTTAAAGTAACAGGCATTGGTAAACGTGCTGGAACACAAAGGGCTTCAAAAGGATGAGCCTGAATACCGTAGATAACATCAGTACCTGGTTTGTCTCTCGCTGACATTCAGCAGGTTGTGGAAGCCAAGGAAAGTGTTTTGGTCACGCATCTTGCACTAGACGATAAAAAAATCAAATTAATTTGGATGTTTAAATTTAATTAAAATCACAGAAATAATCCCACATTTGTAAACAAAAACAAGCAAATTGAACAAGGAGGTTAAACTGTCTGAAGGAAATATGGAAATTGAAGCAAAATTGATGCTTCAACAAGCCAAAGAGGCAGGGAGAGAAGAATAGGGATAAACGACATGACCAGCCCAACATTTATTGGATCATACGCAAGGGTTTAGTCAATTTTAAAAGACATTGAGCAGAACAAACTCAGAGAGAATAATCTTGGATAAATGTGAAATAGACAGCTAGACAAACCACCTTCCCACTGCATTGAATTCAGGAATACCTTGGAAGCATACAAATAGAAAGAGACAGGATGGAGAAAAATAAAGACTCTGGAATATAATGTTGACAGAATTACAGGTACAGCAAGGCACGTTTATTTATATTATTCATACATTTCAATAGCCGGACAATTCAAAATGCTTTGCATGAAAAAGAACAGCACATTGTAGGGGCAAAAAGCCAGGACAAAGAGAATAAAAATAAATAAACAAAATTTTAAAAATGATCAAAATGTTGAGCTGAAAACATAACGAATGTTTAGATAGCACAAAGGTGTCATATGTAGTGTTTCTGCTCCTCTTCCTATTCCTATCCCTTTGCAGCTCCAGGTGACATATTCTCACACTCTCCTAGTTCACAAAGACAAATATGTAAATAGGAGCAACTTCTCTATTTGGTTGTACATTAACACACAGGTCCTTATCCCTTTAATGTTGCCTGTTAGTTTTGATGCCAGATCCAGTTTTGATTTAGCAAAGTCATATAATACCTTCAATACCTTCATGGAATATCATTTGCGCAAACCAATATTACTCTGACTCACCATATGGTATTGTTGATATGCAGAGAGAGAACATATGGAAAAAAAACTGCCCAAAAATTATAATCGACAGCAAAATATATTTGTTTTATTCAGAAAGAATGTGTTATTTTTCATGAGTGTCTTTCATAAACTTAGGTCTGCTGTGAAACCCACAGGTATATTTTTCTTATAAATATAGCACAATTTAAAAGAAAATAAACCGGCTTTCAAATTATATTAGATTTATAACCGAGTTGCTTTGTCATATCATCCTCCTATCTGGACTATGCTTATCAGTGGTATCAAAACAGTATTATGAGTTACATGCCTGCAGTTAAAGTACTCAAACCTTGAGAAATATAGATGATCACTTTGTGGACAAAAACCCACTACAAGTCTGGAATAAGCTCTGTTATCCTAGACTGCCCAGACTATCAGACTTGGAAAATCTTAAGCTTTGTTTTTACCTGACGCATGTGTGAGCCCCTAATGCAAAGGGGCACATGCAACCAGTAAGACAAATGCACTAAGACATGACTTTGTGAACCATCAAACTCCGTGAGCAGTTTTATCGAATTATCATCCTAACAATTAATTATTTTATCAAATATTCTGATATTTAATAAAGTGCTCAGACAATAAAAATCCTTGCATATTGTTTAATTGTTACTTAAGCTTCTTTTATGGATAATAGAAATACATACATGCAGATAATTCAGTTCTTTTTGAACAAGAAAAAAAAAAGCTAGCTCTCTAATGAAAATTGCAATAAACAAAAAGTGCATAAAGTTTCATTTGCATATTGTGTTCTAGATTTTTTTTACTTTAAAGTCATAGCACTATTTAAATGAAACAGATCCCTTATAAATTATTTAAGGGTCAAAAGTTACACACTCCTTGTTTTTGATTCCAAAACCAAATTAAAATAAAACAAATAGATTTCTCCTTTCATTGTTGATAACCGCACTCCGCATTCGCTTATCAGGAAGGTATCATTAGCCGGAGCCGCCTGCCCAGAACACAGTGCATCTAATATCAAGCAAACCCTTTAGGCAGATCATATGCCTCAATAAATTTTAGAAATCGAGATCCTCAAATCATCGCAACAATTCTACTTTTGATAGATAAAAAAAATCATTACTTTAAGAACAGTAGGAAGACAATGAAAAAGAAAGGTAAGAGAAGCATATGAGTTATAAACTTAGTTTACTCACATTGTGTAGAGTCTGAACTTTTACAGTTTTATATCCTTGACAAAGACATGAAAAAATTGCTACCTTCTCATAGTTCTACCTGCATCTAAAACTTTGCCATGAACACAACTAAGTTGGTAATAAATAATGTTTTCAATCGGTAAAACAGACATTTTTGTCTGTGTAAAGCATTTTTCTTCTCTCTCATGACTTTTCCGCTGGTTTTGTGGCATACTTCTCCACATTTTACAAAAATGCTGTACCAGCATCGGCATTAACTAGAAATGCCGGCAGTGCTCGTTCAGGCTCGCGCAGTGTCCGCAGAGCCCAATAACTCAGCCTTTAGAAACTGCAGCAACCAATGGCAGACCGTTACCAGGCGCCCCTACAGAAAAGCCAGCTACTAGTGCTTGAATTCAGATAGTGTATGAAGCACTTAAATGTGACATTACTGCAGACCTTAAATACTAAGTAAAAGCTCAGCAATATAACAGTACTAAAAAGCACTGATCAGTATGCAGATGCTTTCTCAGGATGGATCAATTTATCCCCCAAAACAATTTAAGGAGCTGGTACTGCAGGGACCTTAAGTCTATTTTGGTTACTTAATGTAATAATTGCCTGACTGCATGGGGCACCTATAGACTAAGTGTAAAGGATTAAACCTTCAGTCAAAGCTGCTCAGAAACTTACTGAACATGGGAAAAGAAAAAGTGAGATGGTGACGACTCAGCAAAATAAATGTACTCCATTTTAGCACATAGTAAACTTTACCTATTCAATTTTAATACTCCTTTAAAATCTGCAACAAGGGAGTATTACAAATGCTAAACGGACTTCACATAACATGCCTGGATTTATTCAAATGGGGACCATTTGCAACGTCAATCATGACCCACGTTTTAATGCTGATGGTTAAACATCACATTGTAAAAAGCCAGCGTACTTGGTCATCTACACACAAGTTAAATTTAGGGTTGTTTTTTTTATGTCAGCAGTCTAGTTTTCCACCTTAAATGTTGTCTCCTTTTTGTGTCTTACTTTGATGCATTTATGGATGATGGACTCACCAGGCTGTCTGGTGTGCACAGGTGGCAGCACTGACCCATAAAGGGTCTGAGCATGCCCAGACGGGAGGGGACAGTCACCTTTTTCTTGATCTTGAATTCCCATGACAACTGCAAGGTAGAGGGACACAAATATATCACACAAACAGACTAGAGGCACACACAGATACATGTACGAGTTTAACTGATAGGGGCTTTAAAAAAGGAAAACATTCTCTTAAAGATCTGATTTCAGCAAATAAAACTTAATTTTCAGGGTTACATAAAATACTGCTACATCTAAATAAAGTAATTTATACTCATCTCATCCCAGAAACTTTATTTTAATATCTAGTCATTTTTTCTTTAGCTTTAAAATATATTTTTTTATGCTCTTGATTTACACGGTGTTCAATGAACCATTAAAAAAACAAAAACTATTCTATGTATCTCCATTTACTAGGATTGTAATAGTTCACAAAAGTAATGGTAGACAAATCTAATTTTTTTTTTCAATGTATAAAAAATGAGTTGTTATATCCTAAAAAATAAAAAGTGGCGAGTTTGAAATTGACTTGAGATTTAGAGTAGTTTTTTCAGTTTAATAGCATAAGGAGGCAAATCGGACTGCTACATTTAGAGAATAATCATTCCTTTTTTATCGGTTTCTGCAATTGTACATTTTTTGGAAGTCTGAAGTTTGAACCTACAATATGGCCACCACTCCAACATGAACAATAATAAAAATTCAAGGAAGTCAAAGTTTTTACAATTTTGAAAAATAAATTCAAATTGGCTATAAAGTTTTAATCCCTTTAAAGTTATTTTGATATTTAGACAACGTCAATGTCTTATCTGTTCCATACTTTTGAATGCTTCTAACACCTTGTTTTCTAAGTAACCACTGCAGCAAGACAGTCTTCAATTCTGTGCTGTTTATTTCTGTTCAGCTGCATACTAACTGACCAAACTGCTGTCCAATCTGCAGCTCTGCTGCCTGTGATAGCAGCTGCTGTGCTTACAATGTGATGTTGCACTGAAAAACTGATCTAAGAATAATTGTAAAAAATTCTTAAAATAAGTATTTAACCTTAGTTTGAGTAGGCAAAAGAGACAATCTGCCAAAGGAATGAGTATTTTTGCCCTTAGAGTGATTAAATATTAAGCATTTAAAATAAGACAATTTAGTTGTTTTATCTCCTTTTGGGAAATTGTCTTACCTGCTTGAAACAAGTGAAATAGACTTATTTCATGAAAAATTGACTTGTATTTTTCCGCAGTATACAGTATCCTATCAGTTTGGGTCACTTTCATAGGTGTGTGGCTTTTAATGTGATTGTGAAAGAACCAAATCAAATAAATTAGTGAAATATTCCCACTAAAACTGAGTCCTTCTGTTTTGCTATGATCACTGGGTATAGTGTAAAAAAGAAATAAAACATGCTAAAAAAAAACATTTTATGAGGTATAATGCTTTGGGTCTGTTTCTCTTACAAATAGGAACCTTGTTGTATCCTAAGCAACGGGACTAATATGTTGCCCTTACCATGAAATTATCAATCTAGCTGTTAATATGCTTTCTGTAGATTATTATCAAAAACATGTGGCCAATTTAAGACCAAAATTATTTATCTGATCTTCTACCATGACATTCTCAGTGCCCAGACTTAAATAAACAAACAAACAAAAAAAAAACAATCCTGATAGAGTAGAAGAAGACACCCTGGAATATGGATCATCAGGAGATTTTTAACAAAGCGGAATGGTGAATTTTCTCCTTTCTTTATCCAAAGGTGCAGACACAGATAAAAACACAATTTTCCCAGCAGATACAGATAGCAAAAGATGTTGGGAAATAATCAAATATCATTTTTTTTTTTTTGTGCCCTCAGCATTGTGAGGATAACAATATTCATCATCTGGCTTGTAGCAGCCATGACTCCCCTGCTCTCTATTGGTCTATAAAAAGCAGCTTTCTGCTTCAGGCCTTGCCCTTTACCAGCAGGTCTGTGGTAAGCCGACCATTCTTTAAGCAATGCGTTAACCCAAGCTCTTTAAGAGTCCCATTTACTTCCGTTGGTTTATTTTATCACCATGTCAGCAAGAAATATGTAGCATTACAAAAAGATCAGTATTGATCCCTTTGAGAATCAAAAATACAAATAGTATTTTAAATGAATAAGTTATTCTTTGAACAAGCAAAAATGTGTAATTTCTAATGATTAACCAAGGTCTGGGTATTTTCTGCAATCTGACTCCTTGTCAATTGTATTTTTAGTATGATAAATACATATGCTTATTATCTTGTTTTGTGTGTGGCATTACAGTGGATGGCTTGGAGTTACAGGGATGAGCTAATGAATCTCCTGAAATCAATGACTGAAAAGACAAAGATGGGTTCCAGAAGATTCAGTCAAAGGCAAAAAAGGCCAGAATTAAGACAAGACACTATAGCAGTGACAAAGCTTTCATTTCAATAACAATAAATTCAACTGCCAAAGTAATTCTGAGGAAAATGCATAAAGGAAGGAAGGAGGAGGAGAAACAGTGAATAATTTAAGTGTGTAGGCAAAGTTTTGTATTCATGCAGTATTTAGTAATCCTTTGAAAATTCTGTTCATTTTCTGATGGCTCGACATGAGTCACTGATGCATCACATTCTGTGATTTGGTAAACATCAAACAGAATTAAGCACAGGGGGCCGAGCGTGTTCTCTAGTGATTGTGAAGAACAAAGCGTTTGAGATTAGCGCGCACAGGGTAAGAGACAGGGGGACAGTGGGAGAGAAGTATGCAAGCAGAGCTCTTACAGCAGGTCTTTTCTGCTGAATTGGTGAAAGGCTTGTGTCGTTGTTTGTCCCGTCCTCCTTCTCCTCAAACATCATGAAGCCCCTGAAGATGTTTTGCCAGAAACCTATCAAAAATACAAAAGACAAATTATAAATTATGTGCCATCATGTCCGATACTAAGAGGTAAATTTAGAATATGACTACTATGACATTTTTTAAGGGCATGCAAATGTAGTTGCCTTAAAATGAGAGAAGCATTTCAGAGAACGAAACTCCTCCAAATCAAGTCAATGAAAAAAACAAATCCAAGCTTAGTGTGGAATTTTACCATTTCATTTAACACTCATGTAAATGTTTTCCAGTCTTTCTATAAGTACTTACCGTCACAGTTTCAGCAAATAAGCAGACCTACCCTCTAAGTCGATTACAAGTTTAGAAAAAAACCAGCAGTGTTGATCAGAGGTTTACATCCATTCGTACGGATCAGAAAGAAACAACTCTGTTGATTTTCTTAAATAAAAATTTTGATAAAAAAATTATTGGCAATAAAATTTCCAGCATTAATATGTTGGACATTTGACCGCTATTCTAAGCAAAAAAATGAAAAGACTTCTAAACTAGATGGACACAAGGAATGTTCCTGGAAGTAAATCACAATCTTTAAATATTCTGTATATATTCAACAAAAAAACTTTGCCAATATACCTGCGTTGATCTATTTATCAAAAAAGAAAAACTTATGATGCATGTTTGGGGTTGCATGTTTATCTTACCACTCTTACCTGTCATGTCCCACACTTTATGTCAGTTTTTAAATGTCAGTCTTGTATATTTCTTGTATATTTGTATATTGCAGAGAGTAAACGTAATTTCATTTCCCTTGTATGTCTTGCACATATGTAGAAAATGACAATAAAAGCTGACTTGACTTGACTTAGGATATTGCCAAATCACCTACTGTAATTGGTTTCAAGCTTCATTGACTCAGTGGTTTAAGAAATGACTGGATCAACAGAAAGTTGCCCTTCATATCATTACATCTAGGGCTGCAAATAACAATTATTTTGCAAAGTGATTCATTGTTATTTTTTCAATTAGTTGTTTAAAAATCAGACAGCTACAGGTTGCTTAAAGAAAATTAAAAGCAAATCCTCTTTGCCTCCACTGCAATCAAAGTTTTTGACCAGAAGGCACTTTGGTTACCTTCACAAGCACCAATGTCTGTAAGCTGAGCATAAAGGTATTCAAAGTGAACTTTTCTGTGCATGGTAGTTTGACCTTTGATCCAGTTCTTCATTTGGGCCCTGGTTAATGGTTATACTATGAGCCATTTCTAATCCTTCCTGTTACCTAAAGTTGATAGTTTAGATTAGTCTAAAACTTCCCCACCATTGAGTTTTCCATCAAGATGAATCATCTCTAACGCTTGGCTTTAGGAACTGGCTGATTTATTACATTAAATTTTTTTTAAGCTTTTTTAAAGTCGCAAAATACCAATAAACAATCCCAATTAGGGTATTTGTACTAACTCTGACAACAGGTGGCTACCTGGATTATGCTAAAAGCTTGACTATAGCTTCAAAAAGTAAGTGAGAAGTGACTTTATTTATCTATATTTACTTGTTACAGTAAATTTCCCCACCTTCAAAGAAGAAGCTGCCAAAGGAAGAAAAAAAGTGCATGGGGTATATACGGTGCATCCAAATTAAAATAATTTAACACTCATGCAAATGTTTTCAAGTCTTTCTATAAGACTGGAAAACTAATATTTTTTATATATGTCAGCTGAATTCTCTTATTTAGCTGGATTATTATACAGTGTTATTGCACAGGGTAATTACTTGGGTATTTATATAGATTGATATTTATATATATAGCTATTACACTGGGTATCAAATATAAAGTATTAAATATTAATTGCACATTATACATTGCTCAAGTTACTGCCGTTGTAGTGTCGCATTGTAAAGTCTGATAGCAGTAGAGATCAATGACCAGCGGTAGCGCTCCTTTTTACAAACAAGGTTTAAAAATCTTTCACAAAAGGAGCTGTTCAGCTCCTCTACAGTCTGGTGCAGGGGTTGAAAGGTGTTGTCCATGATAGATGTAAGCTTGGACAGCACCCTCCTCTAAGTCACTTCATCCACTGAGTCCAGAGTAAAGCCTAGGACAGAAAAGGCCTTTCTCACCAGTTTTTTCAGTCTTTTTCTGTCCCGCTCTGTGCTGCCAGGGGCTCAGCAGACGACAGCGTAGAGGAGGGCTGATGCCACCAGAGTGTCATGGAAGGTTTTAAGCAGGGGCCTGCTCACTCCAAAGGATCTCACGTTTCTCAGGAGGTGGAGGCAAAACTGGCCCTTCTTATACAGGGCATCTGTGTTATGAGTTCAGTCCAGTTTATTATTGATGTGAACACCCACGTATTTGAAACTCTTCCCAGTTTCTATATCCTGCCAATGGGGATGTTCACGGGGGAGTGAGGTGGGGGTCTTCTCCTGAAGTCGATCACCATCTCCTTGGTCTTACTGGTGTAAAGACACAGGTGGTTCTTCCACCAGTCCACAAAGTTCATGATGAGTGATTGATACTCCAGCACTTCCCCCTCAAAAACACAGCTTACAAAGGCCGAGTCATCTGACAACTTCTGATTTAGCTGAGTAAGTGTATAACAATTAATGAACTGCTGTGATTTAAAAAAAATATATAATATAAACACTAACTAAAAGACAGAAAGTTTGTTCAAGCTGCTGAGGAACATGTACGCTTCTGACCCACACTAATCTTTAAACAAAGACAAAGCAGTTCATGATTCTGCCCTCATTGCACTGGTTTGTCATTTTAATAAAATCGTATTAAATATTTAGTTTTAAAACCTCGGTGCCCACTCATGTATGCAGGCAGATATAAAACTGGGATATATCTGTTCTGAAGATTTAAGAGGTGGAGGGCAGCTTTGCTCAGAGTCATTCAGGTGCAGCATGATGTTCATCAGTGGAGTAGAAATCACTACAACTCTAGATACATCATTTAGTTTCTCAGCCACTGGAATATGCATTACTGAAAAGTGGTCAAAACCTAAAATATTCAGAACTAAACAAATTATCGAATATATGGAAATTGCTGTGCTGGTCTTCAAATGAGGAATCAGAAAAATATTAAGGTAGTTTTAATGCAGATCAAGAGGAAGTCTACAAACAGGGAAATACACCTCATCAAAAGCCCCCATCCTGTAAGGAATAGCCTTTGGGTTTTTTCACCAGAACAAAAGGATGAAGATGTGTCCTGATGCTGTCAACCTTTTTAAATATGTCTTCATCCATCAGATTCAGGAAACTCATTTGCTTCAGGAGACACTCCCTTTGCATCTCTGACTCTCACTCTGTTGATCCCACTCTGCCCCATTAACTTTGCTAATTAAAACTTAAGCTGCCCCCATGGGGAGACGCTCCATTTCAACTAGCTTCAAGTTCCCACATTCATTAGCAAGTCCGGTGGGAATATAGACTTTGAGAAGAGGTTTACCAGATTCTGGGAGACTTCACAGGTATAGAAGATAAAACAAGGGCAAAACAGCAGAGGTAAAGCAGGGGGTAAGGGGCGTAAAAACTGTAATTAAAAAGCTGAAGAATAATCAAGGGGCCCAAAAAAATAAATAAAACATAGCTAAGATAGAACACAAGACCACATGAAAAATGATAAAGACAGAAGTATGAAGCGACTATGAGGGTAGCAAACTAAAACATAAGGTTGATCTTTTTATGTGACATATCACTGTTTAATCACAAAAACTTAAATTATTTCATTTCGATAAAATGTTTCTTTTAATTGGAGGAATTAATGTTTTGGAGCTGCTTAACAACTGTCCTAATGTTAATTTGCTATAGAATCAGTGAAGGGAGCTAAAGATTGGGGTAACAGCTAAAAGGGCTTTCGACTTTCAGGAATTGTAGCTCATCACAAAAGATGAACAAAACTGAACAAAATGCTTACTCGAGTGTCAAGGAAAGGTGCAACTTCTGTGATGCTAATTAAGATTTTACTATCTACTAAATAAAATGTTCTGAATGCTAAATTGACACAAATTTTACTAAATATGATTTCCTGAACTAATTTTGATGACTGCTTACTGCAGACTGACCTCTTGTTAAAATGATGAGATTATTGGAGTCCCTAAATGGTAAAAACATAGACCATGATAAGAGCCCAGGGATCTCTTGCATTAAAGAATGTACAGCCTTATTGCAAAAACTTTGAAGAAATAATAAGTTTGCAGTGCAAAAAAACCCCAACAGGGTGTGTACACTTGTCAATTCACACGTTACCTTGATGCACCCCAATTTATGTGGAATTGACTAAAGCTGCAAGTGATTTACACCCGCCTTTAAACAAATAGACAAAACAGAGGCTGATTCCAAATACAGCAAATCAACGTCCCTTCAACGTTCTTTGTATAACTGGTGAGAACTCTTGGTAGGAAATTAATCTGCTGGGCTGAATCCAGATGCCCTTTAGTCTTCTGGACAGTATTATGGTACTGAAACGCAGATGGATGATGCTTGTCCAATTGGGATTACAAAAAAATGCAAGTTACAAAAATACGGCGAAAGACCAAAGGTCTCAATTACAGAAACCTAAACATAAAGGTGCACACTTTTGCATGTGTCACACACAGCACACTTGAAGCACTAACACAGTTTTGTTAATTTCTTTGAGGTGGGCTGGTCTATACGTCACAAATTAGATTATTCTTCACAGCCCAGAGATGTCTGTAATAGCTGACCTGTAAATCAGCTCACAGGTTGTAAAAAAAAAAAAGGAAGCATAGTATGACGCTGAACTGGCTCCTTGCTACCCTCTTTGAAGCTGCTCAATACAAAAGCAGTTAATAAGCCAAACATCATCGTGGGGTAAGAGGTCAAACACCATCCCCAGTGTCAAGGCTACCCTTCTGCTACAATTATGCTAGCCTTGAAGCAGCTCCTTATAACCGTATGTGATCGTCTAAAGCCGGTTCACCTTGAATCATAACAGAATTAGAACTATTCTGTTGATCCACCACCTTTGTTTAGGAAGAATAAAAGAACTCCTCTAAGGATAAACATGGATTTTTTATGCTCCTCATTCCAC